GTATAATGCCATCTCCATTCCTTTGGGAGCATTCTCGACTGTTCGTGACACTAGACCATAATATTTTTGTAATGTGCTCATGGCAGGGGAGGCTTTCGGGTTCGGTGATTTCAATCTTGAAGATTGCAAAGAGTTTAGCATATCAGTTGGTTGGCCTAGATGTAGAGGTTCTTCATTTACAGATCCACTTCTGCAATACATTTAGCAAAATCTATATTTAGACAAACCTGAACAGTAAATTTTCTGGATAATGTCCAATCCACAGTCCAAGGAGAACAGATTATACCATCTGAATCAAATCGTTAAAATTATAATATTTGTACAAAGTTGAACAATTATAAAATTTTCGACATATATTCAACTATATTACTACTTCGGGATGATACTTTTCAAACAAAATCAAGGAAGGAAGTCAGTTGGAAACTCCAAGAAATAGGAAATTATATCAATTCTCAAGATAACATGCTGCATGAGATGCTTATGGTGCAAATTTCAATCATTAGAATAAGAAAACGTTGAAATGCATACTTCAAACCGATATTATGTTCTCTAGGCATGTAAGGTATTCCGTGCAAATGTCATAATTTATAACCACCTTCGCATTCACCATATTCAAATTTAAAAATAATAAACGTATTCACTGCGACGTAAGTTGTTAGCATGACTCAGACAGCGCCATAATCCTATAAAACATGTCTACAACTTGAAACTAGCTAACCACATGAGCAATTCCTTGGTTTTCTAAAGTATGTTACAATAAGATTCTTAAGATTCCCATTTCCCACCCCTAACCAAAGCCTCAATGTGCATACGCTAAATTTACTTTAAGCGCCATAATACTAAATCACGTTTCCACACATGAAGTATGATCAGAAAATATAGGCAAACAGAAAGCTTAATAATAGAAAGATATAAACTCATCTAGAAATTCACAAGGAATACCCTGTAACAGTAGAAGCATCAGACAAGCTGGGTGATGGTGGATGTCTTCCTGGTAGAGGAATTCTCAATTTCTTCAAAGCAAACATTTGAAGATCTGCTGCCAAGCCATTCAACCTCCTGATGTCAGCCACCTAGTGAGAAATGAAAGTGAGAAATGAAATTAAGAGCATCAGGATGGGAAAAACAATTAGGATCACACAACAACGTACACACTCAATCTAGATGAACACAAAGAATAGAAGAGAGAAAATACAGGAGAAAAATATTGATTAAAGGTTTATATTGATGACTTCAAGAATGTACGGTAGTAGAATTTAGTAGGAAGAATACAAAGAATGCAGAAATAAGTTTTGAAAGCACTGTCTCAGTTTACTATATAGATATATATATGGTAGATAGTTATACATAGTAGGTGGTTGTATGTGATAAACCTATACATCACACACAACCACCTACTATATATAACTATCTACCATATATATCTCTACCAAGTTTTTTTTCCTTGTAAATAGTCGTTCGCTATATATATGACCATTTTCAGCTTTACTATCATAACAATTGAATAAGCTATAAGTAATATACACTATGGATTGATGAGGTTGCTAATAACCTAAGATCCCAGATAGATTGATGAGCCTAAGATCAACACTATGGATATTGATTGGTCACACAAACTTCTCAGTAAGCATAAGCTTGCTAATAACATCACTAGAATTTTATATACTAAAGAGTAAAGACACATTACCAATTTCAAAGAATATGATTGCAAATTCAGCAAGCAAGATGGAATTTGAAAAAGAAAAAAGAATCTATTTATTCATCCAGACATCCTGGCATCTTAATTAACAAGAATCTGAGCAAATGAAATCTAATACGAACTTTCTAATGTTTGGCTTGATCAACTTTGCCTTCAGCCAAATGCAACCGATCGAAGTCACCTCTGAACTGACATAGTTCAGAGCTGAAGAAATCTATTTGGAGCATCAGATCATTGTTAAATTACGTCGAGTAGAGAAACAATGCTCATGGAATTGGAAATACAGAAACTCGCGAATATTTCGCCCTAACGGAAGCCTTACTGTGTTTCCAAACGAAGTTAAACACACTGATTCAATTGAATCCTCGAAAATGAACTATTGTTTTCACAATATACATATGCCTAAATCGGAATAGTTTTCGATAACTAATGAAGATTTCTGCAATAAGACGTGCTGAAATCACCGTTGAATCAGAATCTAAATTCAAAGATTTTGAAATACTTTCAGCGATAAAAACGAACTTAGAGCAATGATTTATCAGACCTCCAAAATCGAATCAAGTCAACCGTTAATTGATACGGTATGACAAGAGAAAGAATCGCCAAAACTCGAGGAAAAAACACAACAAAAGAGAATATAAAGCTAAACCGACAGAAGAATAGGCAAAAATCGAAGAAGGAAAAGGAAAAGGAAAAGGAAAATGAAAGGTACCTCGACTCCATACTTAATGGCGATGCCGGCGAGAGTATCCATTTTGGAAATTTGATGTTCTATGTAATTCGGTCCGCCATGTCCACTAACTCCACTTGACGAACTATTTGACGGGGACATCTACACGAACTTCTTCTTCGAATTCGTCTTCAATCGAATTTGGGAGGAAGGATCTGATCTTACGATCGGAGGAAATCTTCACCTAGCAACACCTACCACTCAAAAGGCGCCGTTTGCTCCGATGAAGAAAATTTAAAGATCAATTAAAAGCAATGGGAAGTGGGAGAGAATGATTGGATTTGCCATCCAAAAGCTGTAAATTTGAAGTACCTAATACTGTTCTTCATTCTTAAAATCATAATACGCGCCGACCCCTCAACTCGGTCAATCCAATGAACCAAACTTAACTTTGATTCTCTTTGACGTTATTAACTTGAAATATTTATTTTACCAAAAAAAAAATATATTTGTAGAAATTACCATTAAGTGTATATTTGGAGGATGAAAGTCAATGATCTAGAGTTTATATTGATAGAAAACTCTCAAGAGAGCTTATTATGTTCAAAATGAACAATATAGCAAAGTCAAGAGAGTTTATTATGTTCAAAGTGGACAATATCATACTATTATAGATAGTCGAGTTCATCAAATAAAATTGACTATTTTTTCTATAGTTATTTTCTTGTTTATTAATAATGGTAATATCCATTTTTTATTTCAAAATTCAAAATTAAGCACATGATTCTCAATTAAAACATTTTTACGAATTAAAAAAATAAAATAATTTTTTTGTGAACAATTTTTAAATAATATGAATTGTAATAAAAGATGAGTCTAGGTGGATTTGTCCAAATTAAAGTTGTCGGTGTGGGAAAAATCTCCGATTGCTGCTAAATCATCTCCTATTTTATTGGAATAAAAAATAATTTTGTTCTTTTTTTTTTTTTTTTTTTTTTGTGTGCACTGATTCAGGAGCCAACCGCTATTATTATATTTGCTTGAACGATTTACTAGCACTTGGTGGCGGTGGTAGCTTTGCCTTGCGTTTGGATGGTGACTTGTGAGTTTGTTTTTCTTTGGAACTTTTTCCTACCACTCTTGTTCTATGGGAGAATTTACTAAATTGTTCTTTTTTTTTTCTTTTTTCTTTTTTTCACGTAACAAGATTAAGTGGAACAAGTGGGCCATGTGACACATTTGATAGCGTATGCTTGGCGCATGACCTAGAGTTTGAGCTAAAGAATGTTGAGGTAAAATTAAATTCCCAAACGTTCAAGGCTTATGCATTGAATATCCACCAATTGAATGGATGATAGATCCATCATTTTAAAATATTGCAAAATTCAATCAGAGGTACCGTTGCTCTATAAGTCACCTGTCATTATATCATGTGCTTTCTGTGACACAGTANCAAACTTTACACCTGGATTAAAAGATTAGTCTATGACTTAATTAAAGAAATTCGATAAATGTTATTTTCTAAAGATTCGAACATAGAGCTTATATAAATCTAAATAAAAGTAAAATTTACTTGGTTTTATTTTAACCTCATGAAAACAGCAATATTAGACTTAATATTACAAAAATAACCTTCGTTTATAAAAGTAGCCTTATGCACTTCAACTAACGCTTTAAAACGACTCTATTTCTTGAATCAGGACAAGGAAAATATTAGCTTACTATAGCCCATTGCCAATAATTTCCTTTTCTTATGTGACCCTATAATAATAATAATCATCATCATCATGTGCATGTGCTATCATATGGGCCCTAGTCTAATAAATAACCGAAAGTATTCGTTTAATTTCCTAAAAATCCCAAACAAAGGCTAATTTGACAAGATTTTGAAAGAAAAAAATCTCAACAAGGCATAACGTGAACCTTAGGGCCCAAATCTAGTCGTCTAAGAGACTAATTCTAGTCCTCTAAACTTAGAAGATCGAGCGCAAATATATCTGATGAGAAAAACCCAAAACTAATGAATGTGCTACTACCACCTACTACCACCGGACGAAGTATTCTTTGTAAGGGATGGAAACTTCTCCTTAGCGAACGCATTTTAAAAACTTTGAAGGAAATCTTGGAAGAAAAAGTTCAAAGGAGACAATATCTACTAGCAGTAGACTTGAACGGTTAAAACTATAAGCTATGTTGTATTAGTATCCGAATGCAAATGAGACAGTCAGTACTCGGACTCACGGTAGATAATGCAAGGTGTTTAAGATATGCAAGTTCAGTGATGAATGTGATGTGGCCTAAACAATTTTGTCGTTGATAACAAAGAGAAATCGACCATATATTGTGTTGGCTGAGATGTCACTGTTACGGGACAAGGAGCAAAAATCAAAACTATGCACAACAAAGAAGTGTGTGTGGCTAATATCAAATGTGACAAAACCAGAGTGTACTGAACTCAATATAGCTGAAATTTTCTGAACCAAAATACTTTTTCTTACCGATAGTTTCCCGTCCAGCAAGCCCCGATTCTGAAAACCACATTGATTCCTCAGCTCGATGGACGTCGAGGGTCTAACCGAGCAATTTATCTATGCAGTAACATTGCCAAGGGGGGAGTAAGAGATCTGTTGATTGATAAACCATTGAATAGCATACATTTTTTATTGGGACCAAAACAAGAGTAAGTGCAGCAAATTCACATGGGAAGCATACAACATTTCAATTCAGAGACGCAAAAGATTTATAGACCTTTGCAAACAAAATAATGCACATAACTTCCTTAATCTACAAAGAATTCTGAGCTCGAACCCTTTACCTATGGATTATTGTAGGCGAATTTCATAAATGGACAAACTCTAATAATTAACATATAAGGATGTTTTCTATATTCATTAATGGTTTCCAGATTCAAATCACTTGCAGACCTGCCAAAGAATAAAAGGGAGACATTTAATTGTACAGAACTTAAGAAATCGCTGCATCAGATAAACAATTTACATTTTTCATTGAAATCTAGAATCTCTCAATCTAAATAAGTGTAATGTCAAGACCAAAAACTACCATTTAACCTTCTAATATTTGGCAGTTATGAGTTGTGTAAAAAGTGCTCATGCAAAAATTTCTCAAGGAGGTTATCAACTTGTCGACTGAAACCGAAACCAAGGGCTTCTGAACCATTGAGGTTCCTCATGCCAGCGATATCAAAATCATACCAAGGAATAGAGAAGCTGGGGTAGGGGGACCATTCTGTTCAGAAAATCAGATTAAACACGTTCATTCACTGACAAACTGTTCAAAGATTAAAGAACATGCTCCAACCAAAATTTCAGTACGGTAATATATAGAAGAGAAGTGAAGCAATCATGTTTCAAATTATATGAAAGAACAAGAGAAGCATTATTATCAGTACTACAGATAAGACTGCCCGATAACAGCTATGAATGTGCGTAAATATAACAGGTTACGTACTAAAACTGTGAAATCCTAAAAGAGTTCAAAAGTTCACAGCACCAAGAGGTGCTTTTGTACCCATGGTGGTTCGACTTGTTGTCCACACACCTAGACGCCTTTAGAGATCTTACGGAGAAATGGAGAGACTGGATTTTTTTATAAAGAAAATATACGAGTAAGACTTGTTGAGTATCTGAACTCGACTTATTGAGTATCTGAACTCCAGCCTAAATGAGTCCAGAAGAAAAATGGTTGGTTGCTATTTTCCATAGTTATTTCACATACAAAAAACCTAAGCATACAGGTTTAATGAAGTTTTCAGGCAGAGCAAAATGCAAGCTGGAGTAAAATGAGTTCCATATTGCTAAAACATAATAAAATATTCGCCAAAAGCATTAGGATAATGAGAGAAATTCAAAATAAGTTTATTGCAAAATAGACAATAAGTAATTTCCAATGTCATCATTTGTGAGAGGATTGAGATACAAATACCCATAGATCGATATCTAATAAAGCTCCAAATTTACTCAAAGTCCTGCACATATTTTTATCTGATTTTGTTCTTCAAATCTTATCACATACAATATTACCAGGGCTTGGACATGATGATTTTTGGATGACTCATTTTGTAGTACCATTCAATGTCCTAAAGACAGAAAATCAGTTAAGATCTTTAAGCTCTATATAGATGACAAAGGACAAAAAGAAAGCATCACAACCAGTGATTTGGGAGAAGAAAGGCTCCTTAAAAGCTACAAGAACATAGCAAGATTTCAAGGGAGGGAAATAATTTGGTAAGACCAAGTAGGAATACCGTGATTGCACAGACAATGTCAATCCATCCCAAGTAAATGTTCAGAGAGTTCGGGGTAGAAGTCGGGACTAACACTTGGTTACAAAAGAATCCAGGAACTTTTCCAAGTACATAATGACAATTTATGATGGTGTGGTTAACTGAACAGATGCCACGCAACGTGAAACAGAAGGTAAGAACTAGTTGAGACCAAAAGGAAAAGGTAACCAAAAGATGTTACGTGAGCATTTATTAGAAGTTTTGCATTACCCATATTAAAAACTTTCAATAGTAACAGAACAAAAGTAAGCATTAAATCAGATGCTGGTCTGATAATAACCGACAATGAACTCAGTTTATTGTGAAACCAGGATCTAGAAAATGGAACATACATGATTTTGATGGTCCACTGTTAACCAAGTATGGGAAATGGGAAAATAACATGGAGAAATATAATGAAAAACCTTCTTTAAAATTTCATTCCAAATTCTAATAATTAATAAATAAGATATAGATAGCAATCTAGAAACACTATCAAGTCAGCAGACGAATGGTTCATGATTAGCATAAATCACAAACTTCTTATTCAGAAAAGCAGGCTGTGTAATTCAATGATGTTCCCATTAAGCATATAACTTAAAGAGTGAAACATTATCATGAAGGCAACCACACTACATTTCATTACAAGTTCTTGTCATAATTAAGTCCGGATACCACCATGCAAGTATAATACTTATACCAAGTAAGTTTCACTTGAGGATCAATTAACATCCAAGTCCTGAGAACCCTTTATAAGGCTACTTATACCTTGAATTTTATTTGTAGGAGAAGATCAAGTCCTGTGAGCCCTTTGTAAGGCTTGTTTTACTTCGAATTTTATTTGTAGAAAAGGATCCTAGCAAAGTGACATGCACTTACAAGTACGAACCTGGAATCTATGGCCTCAAAAATTTTGACACTGTATGGACCGCAATAGTTCAAATCAATTAAAACTAAAACCAACAAGAATAATATCCTTCTCATTATGTCACTATGTTAAAATCAAGTGACACACACGTTTGTGCCTTTTAGTATATATGAACACAAAAGGTAATAATTTGGACCAAAAAAAAAAAAAAAAGAAAAAGAAACCTGATGGCAATTCTAAAAGTAAGAAGTAAAATTGGTTTCGGTATGAAAATCGTTCAGAAAAAATTGCAGTCAAGTAGAATTACTTCCCTTCATGTATAGACAATCAGATATATAAAAGAGTTGGCTAAAGGAGTGTTTCAGAACAGAAAACATAATGAAGGTTATGAAATGGAATAACTGGTGATTTGTATAGAAGCCTAAGCGCCATGCCATCTATCTCACTAAAGATATGAACAACGGTAAATGTTTATATATTTTCCCCCTTTATCCAAAGAACAGAAATTCAATTACAAATATTATTTTTGTAAAGTTCAAACGTTTGTACAAACAAGATATGATAACATTTCAAAAGGAAAGGACATAATTTGAGATGCAATACCAGTAATCCTCAATCAAGATCTTCCTCCATAGGCTCTGAAGAGTTCTGGCTTCCCCTATTTCTGGAGCTAGGATCGTCGCTATTTCCGCTGTTGTTCCCACCTCCACTGTCGCTAGTTTCAGCAGCTGGACCAAAACCTCTGAATGGCCAAGGAAAAGCAATCCTTCTCACCCTCCGATCAGCCATTTGTTGCGTCTGTGAATTCTCGCCAGAATTCGGATCGTTTCCACCAAAATTTTCCCCACCAGTAGAAGAATCGCCGAAGAGTTGACTTTCGCTTTGACTTCGATTAGGAGCTGAAGTCCCGCGAGTCCTTTGCTCGTAATCGGGATCATCTGTGGGCAATTCATATCGACACACTGGACAAGAATTATGCAATTCCAGCCAAGGAATGATACAATCTGCATGATATATGTGTTTACAAGGCATCTGTTTCGCCTCTTCGTTGAGCTCAAATGTGTCCTTACACACAGCACACTGTGAAGAATCCGACGCCAGCAATTCCTCCGTAATTTTGATATTTGGAAGTGCCTCAATCGCCGACTTCGAGGCAGGAGGGGTTCCATAACGGTTCGGATCGTTTTCAGCAAGCTGTTGAATCAGCTGCTCAAGGCCGGGGCCGAAGAAGTAGTCGCCAAGATTGAAATTGGAAGAGGGATGAAACGCCTCTCCCGAGGCGTTTTGGATTACCAATTGAACATTAGCGCTTTGAAGATAGTTCTGGAGGAAGAGCAAGGGATTAAAACCGTCAGGGTCTTGCAAGGACGACGATCGAAAAGAACCGCCTCCCAACAGCGCCGAGAGATCATTCACCATAGAACCGCCACCACCAATGCCACCGGAAGACGATGACGTGGAAAATATGATCGGGAAACCGCCATTTCCACCACCCCCGGTACTGAACGGAGGAAATGCCTCGGATGTGAAGGAAACGAAAGGATTGGGAACAGGGCTAGGGTTAGGGTTTGGAGTTTCCATTTCTTCAACAAAGCTGTCGTTGCAGTTGGGGCACAAAAGATCGGAGGAGGATGAGTGAGCAATTGTTACCGTACGATTGCACGTATAGCAGAAATAGAGCTGATGGCCCTGCGAGGCGGCGCCACCGCCAGCTCCGTCGCCAGAGTTACCACCGGACGAAGACATTCCGATTAAAACTGAAATCTGAAGATTTGTAGATTCTTTTTCCTCAAGTTGTGACGCTAGAACAAGAAGGAGAGATGGAGAAAGGTATTATGAAATTGGAGCGCGAGTGATGCGGAGAAGGAAGCGAGGAAGACCAGAGGAAGAGATTAGCAGATTCTATTCCCTTTTTTTACAATTTCGTTCTCTTCTTGCCGATGAAAAATCAGCTTGGTTTCTGTAAATTTAAATTTTTAATAATTAATTATAATATATATCCTTTTTTTATTTTCTTTTTTTTTCTTTTTTTACTTTAAACTTGTAATTTTATTTATTTATTATTTTTATTTTTATTTTTTTTGCTAAATCACACCCTAATTTTAACCCAAAAAAAATATAAATTCACTAATTTCAATAAATAAAATTTTATACAAACTAACTTTTTTTTTTTTTACTTTATCAAGCCTAATAAAATATTTTTAATTTTGCAACAAACACAAGTAAATAATAATAATAATAATAATAATTCATTAAAAATACTTTTTTTTTAAATTCCGAGAAAAAATTTAGTTGACTAAAAAAATGCAAATTTCTTTAAATTTTTGTATTCATTTATTAAGATATTTAAAAAACAACACTTTTTTTTAATCTTTATATACACTTTTAATTATTTATATATATATATATATATATATAAATGCATTTATTTTTTATTTTTTTAATTTTTAGGTATTACAAATGCACTATTTATTGCCTAACCTCTTCTTTCTATGCTAATTTGTTTCTGTTTAGCAATTTTATTGTCTAATTATGTGACACGTAAGAAGTGATATTTTCATAGTTATTTATTAGACATTGATATCTCTTTTAATAAATCTTCACCCTAATAATAACAATAAACTTTGTATTAAAGCAAAGATTTTTTTGTTCTTTTACTTTTTTTTGAGTTCAAATTAGAATAAAATGTTAGATATTAGACATTTAAAAGATCATAGTACCGTTGAAAGAACCTAATTTTCGAATATTGTAATTAATTTTATGTTTATCTCATAAACTACAAAAAGATCGACCACAAAATTATACTGTAATGAAATAAAAACAAGAACTCCGAGCTCTAAGATGGATTATGTGAGATTCCACAATGGAGACGAAGGGAGTAGATTGTGAGATCCCACATCAGTTGGAGAGGGAAACAAAAGATTTTTTTATAAGGGTGTAGAACCCTCTCCCTAATAGACGCATTTTAAAACCGTGAGGCTGACATCAATACGTAACGGGCCAAAACAGACGTGGCTTGGGTTGTTACAAATTATCTACAAGCTCCCTAATATATTTAAGATATCAACCAACTTCTACTTCTCAAAGAACATATTGATACACGAATCATTCTCAAAGAACATATTGATACACGAATCAAACTCTACGTAGAGAGCTCTTAAGAATTGAAGACCGTCGGTCGGTGATAATAAAAACGCCAATAAAAACGCCAAATAATGATAACAAATTTAGCCACCATGATTCAAATAACCTCTCCCAAAAGCTATCATAGAAAAACAAGTCACCCACCAACATGAATTTCCTTGAAGAATCTTTCAACAACTTATTAAGTGAAAAATCTTTAAAAGGAGAAGAACTAACCATTCTCATGTTTACATCCAACTGAATCCAGGTACTTTCTTTACATCTCTAGTTTCCATTAGCTCTCTTAAACTTCCCACACCGTCCCAGTTACTCCGGCCCGCAAACATGTTCGATAACAAAACATAAGTCGATGAATCGTTTTGATCCAAATTCAACGCGTGCTCGGCTGCTCGTTTTCCCGTCTCTACGTCGCCATGAACTAAGCATGCACCAAGCAATGTTTGCCAGACCAAAGAACCCGGTTTAAACAGCATTCGTCCGATCAAATCCTCGGCTTCTTTTATACACCCAGCTCGGCCTAAGAGATTCACCATACATACATAGTGATCTTCAGAGGGTGAAATCCCATGGTCAGCACTCATGGAAGAGAAGTATTTCCATGCTTCATCAATGAAACCTCCTTGGCTACAAGCATAGAGGACACAAATAAAAGTGATGTGATTAGGCTCAGCTCCTTCTTTTCTCATTTCATCAAAGATTTGAAGGGCTTCTTTTGCTTGGCCATTGTGTGCAAATCCCATAATCATGGTAGTCCATGAGACAACAGATTGTTCATCCATTGAACGAAAGACAACATTTGCACTGCTCATACATCCACATTTTGCATACATATCAAGTAGAGCATTATCAACACAAACATCAATATCAGCTCCAAGTTTAATTCTCAATCCATGGAATTTCTTCCCTTCTTCTATGGATGCTAAATTAGCAGAAGCATTCAAGGCAGTTGCAAGGGTGAACTTATTTAGCCTCACGCCGACGTTTTTCATATCGTAAATGACCTCGAGTGCCTTCATTGGCTCGCCACAATGGAGGCACCCTGCAGCCATCTGAGTCCAAGAACACACATCACTTGAAGGCATTTCATCAAAAGCTTTAAAACCATCTAATAATTTCTGATTCTTAATGTACATATCACACAAGGAATTCCCTACACAAATATCATTCCCATATCCACTTTTCACAAGCAGTCCATGAACTTGCAAACCCAGTTTAAACTCAGAGAGAGCAGCCAACCCAGTTAAGATACTAGCAAATGTAAAATTATCAGGCTTAATGTCCTCGAGATTCATCCGGCGCCAAAACTTAGGCAGTTCAAAATATGATAATTGCAAATAACCAGCCATCATAGCATTCCATGATACAATATCCTTGGATGAAGAATTCTCAAAAACTTCTAAAGCTTCCAGCAATTTCTCATGCCTAATTAAAGCAGTTAAGAACGCATTCATGAGGAAAATATTCGACCCATATCCTAAGCGAAGAACTAATGCGTAAATTTGGTACGAACATATCAGCCTCTGAGTTAAAGAACAAGCATGAAGAGCACTTACAAGGGTGAATTCGTTGGGAATTATCGTGCCATCACAATGCATGCGGCTAAACAGAGAGAGGGCTTCATTGGGTCGGCCGTGTTGGACGAACCCAGCAATGACTGCAGACCAGGACACAACATTTCTCTCAGGCATTTCGTCGAACAGTTGCAGACCACATGAGAGACTTCCACATTTGACATAGAAATTAAGTACATGGTTGTGGAAGAAAAGAGAATATGGAAGAAATCCTTTGAGGAACTTCGCATGAATCGCCGATCCATGGCGGGAATCAGAGGTTTGAACACACCGATGCAAGAGATTGACATAGAAATCTTCTAGCTTCACGGACGAGATCTCTGATTTTGAAATGAAAGACTTGTGAGAAATTCTCAAAGCAATTGAATGTCGTGTTTTTGTTGATTTAGAAACAAAAATTAATGGGCGAGCGATGTGGAGAGGCATTTAATTTATATGATCATTTGAAATTCTGGAACAAACTCTATTGGGAGGTTTATTCAAAGCCAACCCTAGCCCCGACCGCACCCAAGTTCGGTTAAATAATTTTTATATTTTAATCTAAATATAAGTTTTAATTCCCAATAATAAAGAAAAAAACCCCATTTTAGCTTTACATTATGCAATACATAGTGAGAAATACTAATTTTTTACAAGTTTTTTTATAAATAAATTTTTATCATTTCAACGTATTAAACCTACCGAGCGGTCTTGTGTCCAAGCCAATTGGTCAATAATGTCAAACTCACGAGGCTGTAAAATTATGCATATTAACGCATGTATTTTGGCTCATATATCGTATCAATCTAATTCAATTTTAAGATAAGGGTCTTGGCTCGTAGGTCTAAATATTTTTTATAGTCAATAATTTATTTCAGCTTAGTCTCGAAAGACCTTTATAAATAAATCTTTTCTCATTTGAACTTATTAACCTATCAAGCGGTCTAGTGTCCATGGTTTATAATGTCAAATCTCACATGGTTATAGTATTATGCACATTGACGCATGTATTTTGTCTCATATATCGTGTCAATTTAATTCGAAATTTAAGATAACAGTCTCGCTCGTAGGTCTAAATATTTTTTATAGTCGATAATTTATCTTAGCTTAGTCGGAGATTCTCTTTTTTCGAGACTGTGGATCTAGGGCAAAGGGACTTTCCTCAACCTCGGCTCGTAGGTCTAGATTTTTTTTATAGTTGATAATCTATCTTAGCTTAATCTCAAAAGACCAAAAGAGGAAATTCTTTTGTTTGAGATTATGGATTTAGGCCATAAGCACCCTTAACCCCAATAAATAAATAAAAAGTTTACCGTCATGGATATAAACCATTTATCTATTTTTCATAAATTATTTCTAAATTAAAAAATGATATAAAATAAAAAAAACTTTTACATTTGTACATGTTTTTTTTTAACTTCGTAACGCTCAAAATTTTTTTCGAAATGCAACTCATTTTTTTAACATTTTTTAAGTAAAAAAAAAATTGAAATAAAGTATTAATTGTGGATAATTTTAAGTTTTAAACGTATTTTTGAATTTTAAAAAATTCAAATATATATATTTTTTTAGATAAAATAGAATACTTTTTTTTTAATTAATTTAGCAGGAAAAAAAAATTATTCGTCGTGAATCTCGAACTCAGAGGAAAAGCACAAAAGTCGCGTACTGAACTCCATTAAATTGAAGCCGCGCTGCCAAAGTTGAGGGTCTCCGAGCATCCAGAAGGCATCGAGCCACCACGGTCAGTACTTTGCGTTTATGAACGATTTCCAGAATTTCTATCAATTATAAACCTGCAAATCCATTTTTCACAGAAATTTGGCGGTATCTCATCCAATCTTTGCTCGTTCGTGGATAATAATTTTCTGCTATTCGAGTCCAAACTGAGAAAATGATATTATAGATTCCACAGTTTTACTATCGATTTTTTCATTTCTCTGAACCTCTGTCTACTCATGGATGCAAATATTGCAGACATTTAATCGAACACTATGGCTTCACGAGGGGCAAACGTGGTGCTCTCAAGGGCGAACAGGATGAAGACGAAGTTGCAATCAGCATTATCAGCGAGTGTTTTGGAAATCGAGGACGTTTCGCACCAGCACGCTGGGCATGCGGGAGTGAAGGGAAGCGATGGGGAGACTCATTTCAATGTAAAGATTGTGTCACCAAATTTCGAAGGGCAGAGCCTTGTGAAGCGCCATAGAATGGTGTATGATGCGTTGGCTGATGAGCTTCAATCTGGATTGCATGCAATTTCAATCGTGGCAAAGACTCCCCAAGAAACTGGAGCAAAATGATGTTCAGATTCGCCTCACAGTGTGAGTTTTCAAACGAACTCTTACTTCAAATTTTGAGGATTTAGGTATTTTTATGTTTTGGCGTTTCTGTCCCATTACGTATTTGTTAGATAGACACAACTCTCCACAATGGTATGATATTGTCCACTTTGAGCATAAGTTCTCATGACTTTGCTTTGAGCTTCCCAAAAGGTCTCACTCCAATAGGGAGAGTATTATTTGTTTATAAACCCAGGATCATTCCCAAAGTTTAGGGCACTGCTTTGTCCACTTTGAGCATAAGTTCTCATGGTTTTGCTTTGGGCTTCCCCAAAAGGCCAGCTTCCCAAAAGGTCTCACTCCAATGGAGAAAGTATTCTTTGTTTATAAACCCATGATCATTCCCTAAGTTTAGGGCACGGCTTTGTCCACTTTGAGCATAAGCCTAAGTTTAGGGCACGGCTTTGTCCACTTTGAGCATAAGCTCTCATGGCTTTGCTTTGGGCTTCCCCAAAAGGCCTCACTCCAATGGAGAGAGTATTCTTTGTTTATAAACCCAGGATCATTCTCTAAGTTTAGGGCCTCACTCCAATGGAGAGAGTATTCTTTGTTTATAAACCCAGGATCATTCTCTAAGTTTAGGGCACGGCTTTGATACCATGTTAGACGAACACAACTCTCCACAATGGTATGATATTGTCCACTTTGGGCATAAGCTTTCATGGTTTTCCTTTGGGCTTCCCCAAAAGTCCTCACTCCAATTGAGAGAGTATTCTTTGTTTATAAACCCACGATCATTCCTTAAATTAGCCGATGTGGGACTTTCATCATCCAACAATATCGTCGTCAGCCACGGTTTTACTAGGGAGAGATTTCCACGCTATAATAAGGAATTTGTTCCTCTCCAACCTATGTGGGATCTCACAATCCACCTCCTTGGGAGCCCAGCGTTCTCGCTTGGCACACTTGCCCGGTTTTCAACTCTGATACCACTATAACCGTTTCTAATTCACAACCGTAAAAAGAGGGTTCGATTATCGATTTTGTCCCCATTTCTTACACCCTACTTTAAACTGTGCTTATGCATTCAAAAATTTCATTATAACAAGGTTCTTTGTTCAAAGGGTAATAAGCATCTCTGTCATTTGTTGGTAGTAATACAAATTCAAGGTGACTGATTATTTATTAGTGCACTCTACTCCTAGATAGAGTCATTATTCCAAGATAGGACTAGTCTTAACCTCCTTCTTACTCAAACTCAATCGAGATCCATAATGTTCAACCAATCTGATTTTTCATATTCTATGTCATTGAAACAAACGTCTATTGTGACTCCTCACGAATGGTGCAATAACATCTACAAAGGATCTAAAAGAAAGTTTTTCGTGAGGGCCACTGTGAGATCCCATGGTTTGAGAGGATAATGAAGCATCCCTTATAAGGGCGTGGAAACCTCTCCCTAACAAACACATTTTAAAATCGTGAGGCTGACGGTGATAGGTAACTGGTCAAAGCGGACAATATCTATTAGTGGTGGGCTTGGACAGTTCAGTCACATTTTAGTCTACATGCATGGTAATCTCTAAAGAGCCAAATTCCATGGTTAGCACTCATGGAGTAGAATACTTACATGCATTATAACTGAAACACCTTGTTTACAAGCACGGTGTATACTAATGGGAGGTAGATCATTGTGTCTTCCCACATCAGTTGTAAAGAGGAACGAAACATTCTCTACAAGGGTGTGGAACGTGGAAACCTCTCCCTTGCATATGCATTCTAAAAGTCTTGAGGGGAAACCCAAAAAGAAAAGTCCAAAGAGGACAATATCTGCTACGGACATTTTGTACACCCTTGTATTTTCTTTTATTTCTATCGATGAATGCTCATTTCTATCAATATCGGCCGAAACGTTCATTTGCTCAAGGGCTTATGTCTCAAACCATGTATTTTCTTCTCTTCTTGCAGGGAGGCCGAATTGGCACGAGCGGATCTGTTTCGTTTGCAGTTATCTTTCAACCTTGTCTTCTTAAAATTGTTAGGATATGAAGTTGATCACATATGCAAAGAGTTGGAATACTTTCAGCATGTGGGTCAGTTGCAGGTATTATTTCATCAACACCCTTTGAGACTATTCTAAATAAGTTACAGAAAAGAGTCGGTACTGATCTATATTTTAGATCAATATTTATATGAATGTCTGAAGCGTGTAATTGATTAGATCTAGTATTTCATATAATGATAATAATTAGAAAATTATTATTATTTGTTAAACAAGTATGTATGAGAGTGGATTTGAAGCTTATACTTCAAGAGTAGATATTTTAATCGAATTGTTATTTATTATTATTAGGAATTTGGACAACAAACTTTTAGAAAGACTAATAGGAGATGAATTGATTTCAACCATTCGCTTAGTTATAAGGTGTATAACTTTCGAGCTTGTACACATGTTTCTAGAGCTACTTGGTTAGTTACGGCACCTAGTGCATTACTCCAATGGTGCCCCAAAGTTCCTCCGCTGAATTGTAGTACAGAATTATCTTTAAAAATCTCGGTTAGAGTAGGCACATGCCAAACGTGAATACCACTGGAAGTCACTGGCAGAACACCTTGTAAAGAGACCCAATCTTGAGTGAAATAAATACCGCGACTTCGATCTTTTTCAACAAAATCATCACATAGTAAATCAGCAAAGCCTAAAATGATGTCTCTTTTCCCTTCGAGTTTACCTACTACGATCCCAACGTGAATATGATCTCCACCAAACAGATGTAATAGATCTAAATTGGAATTTATAGTTGTCATTTTGAGATTTCATGACGACTCACTCTATAATTAAATTGATTTGAAAAATAACCAATATCAAGGTGAGTTTGAGAAATACAAGCTTCTACGTTTATGTGCCAAAAGTTTGTCAAAATGCCTGAAATTGCATGCCTTTAAATAAGTCGTTCAAGCATTCAAGAACAAATAAATGAAAATTAGAAAAAATAAGATACAGGAAAATAAACTCGGTCTTCATGTGAAATGCTTTATATTGTCTTAAATATCTATTATAGGATTTGTTTGGCTTGATGAGAACGTCTTGATGATGAGAGCAGTTTTGAACGTTAGACAATTCATACGTGTCTATTATCATTCACCAAGAGTAATATGAGAGCAGTTTTGAACTTATATATTCTTATAATTAAGTCAAAATAAATAAATAAAACATATTACAAAGTGTGCCTCCAAAGCAATCGGAAGTCGAGTCAGGGAGCATGTCCACTACCAAAGGGGAAAGACCCTATATGCAGCCCGAGCACTGATGCTGCGAGCAACAAAGCACTATAAATATTTGAATCATATTTCTTCGAGAGGTATAAAATAACTCCAAACCCGAGCTCTATACTACTTTCGAGCTGACTCAGAGGGTATTAGACAAAGCACCACATTGGTGCTCGATTTGATCGACCATTGGCATCACTCGAGTAATTTGACTTAAACACCTTAGACTAAGTTAACGAGATTGATACTCCAACCAAACCAATCTTGAAAGAGTTTAAAATTTATAAAGGGTTGCAACAAAAGAGAGGGATTGGGCTGAACTGAATATGGCCCGCCTAAAGAGCGTAATGGAGTTGGACAACACGCGGGCTTAATGGATGAGTGGCAGCCTTGCGCTTCAAGCATGAGGCCTGACCTCACCCGGCAGTTTCGTATAAATATAATTTTGTTTCCCGCCAGCGACATTAATAGGAAGGTTAAGATTAAGAATAGGTGGCGAAGCGTCAAATATGAACGCTGCCATTTCCCTTTCGCATTATTTGTGGATTTCCGTCCGTTTCCCTCAGAATTTGTGGAGCCAATCAATACCGAGCTCTTTTTCTTTCCTCTTCATCATCGTTCTCGTGAATTCTCTGTTCGGAGTTACCAGAGGCGAAGGCGACTTTTCTTAAGAAACCGCAGCGATTTGATCGTCGTAGCGGTTCGTCAAATCGAGTCCAAACATGAATGAGAAGGCCTCCGTCTCTAAGGAGCTCGAAGCCAAACACGCTAAGGTTTCTAAATCTATTTTTATCTATCTCTGTTGCGTTTTGTTTGAAATTGATCGAAGGTTTTGAGGAAATTCGTCGTTTCTTCGCTATTTAGTTATGCGAGAAAGAGAGATTTAAGTTGTTGTGCGCATTTTAGGCTTATAGAAACATAATGTTAGTGTTTGGAAATGCTATGATCAACTGCTAGCGCAATCAAACCAGCCAAAAACTATGATTGAATTGCGCAGTATCAACGAAGTTCTTCTCACCTTTTCAAGCTATTTGAAGTCTTTGTTTACGCGGCAGGGATATGAATTTCAGTCGCTAATCTATTAATTTCATGTGAATTTTGTTTTCATCTCGAATACTTGGTTTTAGCAGTGTGAACGTTTATTTTAATACTTTGTTTAACTTCAGATCTTTTTTGTGCGTGTTACATATTTGTTTATGCAGATCTTGGAAGGTCTTCTCAAGCTTCCAGAGAACAGGGAATGTGCTGACTGCCGGAGCAAGTACGCATTTAAAAGATCATTATTATTAATTTTTAAATATGATGCGTTCATTCTGTAAATCTAATTAGTTACGAATGTACTTCCTGTTCGTAAGCTTCTGATCAGCCAATTTTTGCTTGGAGCATGCATAATTTTCGCACTACAATATTTATTTTCAAAATGTTTATTCTCATTCCTCCTGAATATCTAATTTGCAGCTTTTTTTTTTTTTTTTTTTTTTTTTTTTTTTTTT